TCTCTCCTAGCTGTATTTCTAGGGGCAGCTGTTCTTCTATTATCCTTCTTGGGTAGCTAGTCCATCCACTCTCTCATGATGAAGGGACACATTGTAGTTAACACAGGTCTTTGTGTATTTACCACTGCCAAGACTAGAAGAGGCTTTTATGGTCATTTATCTGGCTTCTGGTATGAGACAGATTGATTGCAGCATGCCAGCAAGCCAACACCTTTTGCAGCAGTAGTAATGTCACTGAATTTACTGGAACAAGATGCTGAGAGTTAGCTCTTAAATCTAGGGCCATTACAGATGATGGAAATCATCAGCCAGACTGAAATGCACCATCTGCAAGAATAACTGATGGGATGCTGCCATCTGCTCTAGCCCCAGTCATTGCTGTGAACCACAGACTGCTTGGTCTGGGGGGATTCTATTCCTTCAGACCAGAAATGAAGGGTGGTTTTTGTGAGGTTTGGCTGTTGAGATGTGCTTACAGCTGAAAAGGAAGAAAATGTGTCTGAGAGAGAACACCTGAGGCTAAAGGTTTAACGGCATGAAGCTGTGTTGGGGGGTTTAGGAATATCAGGAAAAGGCCTTTCTCCCAGGGGCTTTTGGGGCACTGGGATGGGCTCAGCAGGGAAGTGGTAACAACTCCAAGTATGGCTGAGCTGAAGAATTGTTTGGACAGTGCTTTTAGGCTCAGGGTGTGATTCCTGGGGCTGTCCTATTCAGGAACAGGAGGTGAATCTTTGTGGATCCCTTAAATCTCAGAATATTCAATGATTCTATGTGGCATTATGGACATTGCAGGGGGATTGTGTCTCTTCTAATAATCAGGTGAGGACTATTCTGCATGATTCATGGTTTGAAAATGTTAATTTACTTTTCTTGAGAGAAGGATGAAAATGTTTGTGCAGACAACTTTTTCAGTATCAGTAGCATGTGTATGTGTGTGTGTGGCTATTTCTGGAGAATTTCCATTGTGTATGTGTAGCTCAGAGTCTCAGTCAGCTCTGAGGCACTGAGTCAGCACCCCTGCCAAACCCTTGGCTAAAGCTCTATTTTGAGTTATTGATCTTTATATTGCCAACACTTGATTCAAACTGGAGTTTTTCCTTTCTTGGCCCTGTGTGAGGCAGAAGTGAAGAGGAGGCAGGATGTGTCCTCCACCAACCAAATGGCTGAAACTCCACGTGAGAGCCAGCTGTTCCTTGGCATTTCATAGTGCAGGGCAGTGCCCCTTGCTGGGGGTGACTTTGCTTCTCCCATGCTCCAGCCACTGCCCACAATTCCTCCTGCTTTGTGAAAAGCTCCAGTGGAGGGGAATGTGCCATCAGGAAGCCCTTAGCTGCCATCCCAGATGGAGCCCAGCCTTGCAGGCCAGGGTGCAAGCTCAGGAGAGCTCCCAAGAGTGAGGTTGCCCTTCCCCAAAGCTTCCACTCCACATATTACCTATCTGACACTTCAATTAAAATCACATTTGCTCTTCTCCTCACACACATCAAAGGCCTGCTGAGAGATTTAGAGGTGTGAAGGTTTTGGGTGATGCTCAGTGCAGGATGTCTGACTCACATGGGAATGCCACTTACTATAACCAAAGTTCCATACCAGAGAAGATGGTACAAACTATCAGATGGGCTCCAAATCTACTTTTTGTAGGCTTCCTTTTCTAGTAGATCAAATAACAGTATTTTTTATCACATTTTTTTTTAAATAAGCCTCAGGCATGAATGTTTATTTGCTCATCACTAAGCTGAGAACTCAGAGCTGCAAACAGCTGCATATTGTCTCTTGAGATGTTGCCTTCAGATGTGGGGGACTCTGTCACCTTTAGAAGGAAATGTGAGCATGATACTTACATTCCCTGTGAGGAAACTGTGTGCTGTCTTACAAAGAGCAGCAGTGTAAAGGAAAGAGCAAGCCACAAAAGCAAATGCTCGAGTGCAGCGCTTTGCAGCTTCTGCAGTGGAAACAATGCCTCAGAGAGAGAGCAGAGGTGTGCAAAGTCAGCCCATTGTTGTGGCTGTGCTCAGTCCTCTGCTCTCCTGTGTGTCAGAAGATGGGGATGTGTGGCAGTGCAATGGGCTAAACAGGGCTCCAGCATCCTTAGCTTGATGCTAAGGACAGGCCTAACTGAGCCAGGCCTAGCAGCACTGTGCTGGGAGACATCTGCTTTTCTATCATTGCCCATTTTCTAGCTGGCTTTGTTTAATCCAGTGGTGTTACTTCCTGTGTGAGCTATCTGCAGTGAGAAGAGAGTGAGAGCACTGTTATCTACAGCTGTTATCTATCTACAGCTCACCCTGTCCTACCCAGCAGAGCTTGGGCCAGTGCCTGGGCTGTGGCCACACAGAGCTCCAGCCACAGCGCTCTCTGTGCCACTCCCTCCACCTTGGAGGGCATTTCTGGCCAGTGCTCTGTGCTGGAACTGCTCTCAGGATGTTTACCCCCTGCCACATCTCTGAGGTACATGCTGGCTCCTTGGGTTCCTCTGTGGCAGCAGCCCAGAGCTGCTGTGCTTTCCAGAGACACCTTCAGGCACCTTCTCCTGGGACTCCCCTTGAAGGGAAAACAGAGATGTCAGTGCAACAACTTAGAGTGCCTCCTTCCAAGTAACATCCAAAAAATCCTTCTTCTAAAATGAGGATCAAAGCCCAGTCAGGACTGCAGCATGACATTACCTTGATTTTCAAGAAAGGAAGGGTAAAGCTGGCAGAATATTGACATTTCCCCACTTGTCATCTGGCAGGAAGACTGAGCTTAGAGACATGGGCTGCTTTGTCTCTCTCCAGCTGGGTCTGATGGTGCAGGAGGTTTCAGAGGCTGGTTAGAAGAGGGGCTGCTTTTGGGACAGACCATGCCAGGATCTCATGGGGAGCTCTTACTGCAGGTGAGTGCTGTGCCCCTTTTGCAGGTTTGGCTGTGCTTTTGGCTTTTGTTACGCAAAGTCTTGCAAGTGGATTTTGTGCACATGCACCAAGTACTCAGGAATACCAAGGTTTGGTGTCACTTCTGTGAGTCCAGTGACCATGGGACATCAGCCATTGAACCCCCACCCTTCTCTCAAGTGCTTCTTCACTGCTCACAGTGAGCTCATCTTTGAACAGACATTTTACATCCTTTACAAATGGGTTCTTGCTCCTGCCTACCTGTTGCTCCAACAGCAAGCAGGGTGTTTGGTGAGCTGGTTTGCTGGACTATGGGGGCTTTTGGTCTGACCCCTTTGAGTTGTGAGTTTAGAAGATTGTGTATGGCACCAAACTGCTTAACTGGAAGTAGTGGCCTTCATTATGAATACAGGAGATTGTTTTACACCTAGTTCTACCACTATGGAGCTTTACCTGTCTTCTGTCTCTCTCTCTCTCTCACACACACACACAGACAGACATACATCTTTCCCTTTGCATTTCATTTGTACCATGTCAATTCCCACCCCAGTGTGTTGGCAGGGTGAACACGCCAACAAACAGACAACCTGCAGGGATACCCTGGAAGCAGGCAGGGGCTTTGAGGGATGTTTGCCTGAAGAAAAAGAAGAGAAACAAAGTTGAGCAGAGCATGGACAGTGGTTTCAGCATGCTGGGCCTCCCTCTGCTCTACTTGATGGACCAGTAAAAAACCTTCAAAGAACAGAGGAGAAATCAGGGTTGCTGCCTTTACCCAAATTCCTTTAGGTGCCCAGGCTGGAAGCAGATGTGTCCAGGAGTTTGACACAACTTGATTGAGTGTGCCACTGAGTGTGGCAGCCCCTGCCCTCAGCTTGTTTCTTGCCACAGAGGGTGGAGGGCAGGCACAGAAATGTGATCTTGCTGCTGTTGCTTCCTCTCTCCTTTTGTGTGTGCCTCCTTTGTGTGTTCTTTGGAAGGAAACAAGAGCAGAAAGAAGGAAGAAAATAGCAGAAAGAAGGAAGAAAAACTAGATTTTCCTGCACTGAGAGTTATTTTTTTAAATTTCATTAGTACCAGTAAAAAATGATTAAGCTGGAGAAGGGGAGGTGTCTTACAAGGAAGACCTAACCTCAAGGAAGAGGAATGACATGAACGAACAAGCAAGGTTTATCTACTCTTGTACATATCTGGTGCCACAGATTTCCTTCTGTCTTCTTTCTTGGCCTGTGCCTGTCACAAAGAGCTGGAACATTTCAGTGGCTACTGCAGCAGAGGAATTATGGTGGTGAGGATAAGACTCAAAATCCTCACCACTCCATCTGTTTCATACTGGAATCAGGGATAAGGACCTCAGTAGCTTCTCTCATGTTTTTTGGACCTAGCTCCTCACAGCTTCTTTCCTCTTTCCCACAGCAGCCAGCTCCAGGGCTGGATTGTGGCTGGATCAAGGCAGGGTTCTCACCCCCTTTCATGCCCATACGTATCCCAGATGTTGATGCCAAGCTGATCCTGCTGCTTTCCAAGGGAAGCGTGTCTCCTTTCCAAGCCTTGTCCAGCAGTCTCCTGCACCTCACTGGGGCTCCTGGGCTTGTTCTCCCCTTCCTGCTGCTTTGGCTGTGGGGGAGAGTTACAGTTCCCCTCACTCCCCCACCCAAAAACTGCATCCCTCCCATTAGGATGATGGCATGTGGATTGTGAAAAGCCCAGAAAAAGGTACCTGGATGTCTGTAATTCTTTGTTTCTGTTGTCTCATACTGTCCTAATCCAAATTGTCCAAATTATTATTACTCTAACAATATTGCTATTTTTATAACCATTTTATTATCATTAAACTTTTAAAATTTAAAAAAAACCCCAAGTGATTGGCATTTTTCACATGGATGCTGGAACTGAGCTCCTCAGGTGAGCATTGAGGAGGATGAGGGCCCCACCTGGCCCTCCAGCTGGGTGGACAAACTTCCAGGGCATTCCTGCATTTTAGTGCCCATTTTCTTTGTTGTCTCCACGTTGCCTCCATGCAGACAAAGCACCCTGTTGAGGCTGATTTCCGCCCCTGCTAGAAATGAGAAGTGCTGGAGGAGAGGAGGAGGGCACAGAGGCTGCACCGACATGTCCCATCACTGCCTGCTCACGGCACAAAGCCCTTTCACCTGCCAGGAGCTATCACTGGACAAGGCAACACTGGATCGTTTTTGACCCTGAAAATGAACTTTAGGAGGATTTTCCTAATCAAGTGCTTGCTGCTTTTGTTTCCCAGTGTAAAATGTGAGTTTTTCTTACAGTTTTTTGCTCTTTTGGGCTGATGTTAAAATTGCATTTTAAAGCATTTACAAGTTGGTGGGCTGCTACTGATAAGGAACTTGTTCCACTTTTCCAATGAGTGAAGACATCTGGGTTATTGCTATTGTTATTTGATTTAATTTTCAGCCAGGGGGAGGGCAGGACCTGAGTTTCCTATTCCAGTTATAATAATAAGCTGTAAAGAGTTTTGGTTTTAAGTTAATGAGCCTTAATTTGACACATGTGTAATGAGAAATGTCAGCATACAGTTTGCATTCTGCCCTCAAGGCAGCTTGTACTACATTAGAGATCCAGTTCACTGTGCATTATCGCATGTAATTTCCTTTTCTTATCAAAGATGTGCAAATCTTTTGAAAGTGCAATTTATATTCTTCCATAAATATTAACAGAGTGATAGATTTCAGTGTCTTCAGTGGAGCTGAAGTTTAAGATGTGAAAACAGCAAGCAACTGCATATATTTTTTATATTTTGCATATTATTGTTCTCATTATTTTTTAAAATATTAATCTAAAAACTTAATTAAGGTGTTAACTCATAGATTAGAGAAGGTTTTAAGAGATGGAGACAATACAAGCCTGCATAATTTTTTTCTCCCTCTGTTTCATTCCACTAAGTTTGTATGTATGGCGGTTTAATGCTTTGCTTTTCCTTCAGAACAAAATTAATAGATAAATAAGGATTTCTTCTTTTTATGTACACAATCTATAAAACATCTTCCCCAGCAGAAATAAGGATTATTCCCTTGAATAGAAAATAGTTTCAGAGACTTCCTTCCTTCTCTAAAATTACTATGGGACCTTTTTTCTTTTAACTCTTTCTTGTGACTGAGTGAGCTGTAGCCTCTCAGTTAAAACATTTCTGCCCTTTGGAGCACATTTTAGTGGGCATTTTTATCAGAAGTGCTGTTTCATTAGTTAAGCAGATTTTTAATATCATGTGGGATACTCAGCTTTTCACTAGAAAGACAATGGAGACTAGATTGATATTTAGAAATGTCTCTGTCCACAGAGATGCCATTGAATTATTCTTGGAAATTCAGATTACTTTTTTCCTTTGCTTTCAGAGAGAAAATGTAAGTGGTGTCTGTTATACAAAGAAATCCTATTACTAGCTCTAAATACTTGTTCATGACTGAGCAGAAACAAGTATCAGAAATCAAATATTGGGGTATAACGTGTAGTGTCATCTGTGTGGGGCATAGCTGCTTCCAAGGCTGTTTAGTTGATAGCTTTATTTCAGGACATTTCATGAGATATGTCAAATACCTTGCAAGAAAGGCAATGCTGGAAAAACAAGCTCTCTTTCGAGGTGGTGAATTGCCAGAAGCACTGCAGCATCAATGTTCTTGCTGCAGAGGCATGCGATTTTAGTTCTCTGATTATCTCTAATGTTGTTAGTTTAATGAAATAGCCACTGGGTTTCAGTTTCCCCTCCGTGGTGCCATTTATCATTATCCTAGATACAAGGAGTGAAGGACTGTAATAAAAATATGCATAAACACAGGTTTTTCTCTCTGTGGGGAAAAAAGTACTTAAAATACATAAAATTAGGGCAGAATCAGCTCTCTGTGGTGATGGGAAGGGAAATCTCCTCCTGCTGATTGGCTTCACCCTGTAAATTGAGGAGGAATGAACACAAGAATCTGACAAACTAAATAAGCTGTGGCTTTGAGCTTGTGCCAGTGAGCTTATCCCACCTGACACTTGCACGCGGATTTCGCCCTCCTCCTGCAGGTTTGTCCACCTGCCACGGGGCTGGGGACAGTTCCTCACTTGAAATGACCTCCAAGGAAAGTTTCCCAAGTGCTGGCTCACCAGAAATGGGCCCAGCAGAGGCGGCGGCTGGAGGGGAGCGGGCAGAGCACCCGGGCACTGCTCCAGGAGTGCAACATCCCCACTGCTGCACGCGTGGTGGATGTTTAGTGAACATCCCCTCTGGCAGCCCCATGCTCGTGTGCTTCCCAGTCCTGACACCACCTTTGGAATCAAAGGAAGAGAAAAGATTTTTGGGGTTTTTTTTTTTGGCAATTGCTTTTCTTGTAATGACTCCTGCAACCTCTCAGATGCTGGTAGCTGTTTCTTCCTGCCTTACTTGCCCCATCAGGGAAAAATCAAGTGGATGCATTCCAGGGGGACAGAGTAACCGGGATGGGAGAGGGGAGGCACTGCTGTGGGTGTGCCTCCAGTTCAGTGCCTTACACTCACCACAGATTGACGTGGGCTGCTATTATTATCATCATTGCTATCACTGGGGTTGCTGAAATGATTCTGCTGTCCAGAGATGTGACTATTTTTGCTGTTTGCAGTTCTAGGTACCAGCCCGTGCCATGTGCAAAACACAGAAGTGACTTTCTTTGAAGGAAGGGCTAAGTAATGAATGGGAGGGCATGAATTTTGGCATCCAGAGTCACTCCAAGTAAATCAGCCAGGATATAAATTCAGCCTTTGAAAGCTGGGCTCTTTGCTTTCTTGCCTCTCAGAATTAAATTGGATGCTGGAATTTATCTAATGAACAACCAAGAAATACTTTGGAGCAGGGGGAGAAGATAGCATCAGTAAAGCAGAGAGGCTTAGGCAGCTCAGGAAGGGGGTGGCATAGCAAGTGACAACTTTTGGGTGACTGCTGTGGCCGCTGGAGACAACTGAGGGGCTGGCTGTGCTTCCCTCTACAGGCTCCAGCACCAGCTGGATTTACAAGGCAGTGAATGAGACAGCTCTTCTCAGCATTGCTGCTCCTGGGAGCATCTACGAGGCCACATGGAAGAAAGGGACACAAAGGCTGGTCCAGATCAGAGACAACAAAGCCAAGCACTTTGTGAACAAGGAGCAGTGCAGGTGTGCCATTCTCCGCAATGGGACCCTGGAAATCCAGCGCCTGGAGAAGGAGGACAGTGGGAACTACACGGTGCAGGCTTATCAGAAGGATGGACAGCTGAAGGCAGAAGAAAGTACGATGTTATTAGTTCAGGGTGAGTTTTTGCCTTTCCCATGCTGTGCTCGGGACAGCTGAACAAGATTTGGTACTCTCTGCTCTGTCCCACAGCCTTTCCTACTCGGTGCCCTCCTTGCTGATTAGGAGTGGGAGGACTTCTGTAGGGCTGTACCTTTTTCTTCCTGCCACTGACAGCAGCCTGCCTCTCTCCTCCCTTCTCTGGATCTGGTTGATGGCCTCGAACCCCCGGCTTTTTTCTGGCTCCCATTTGTCAGCCAGCAGGTTCCTAGCTGTGCCCAAGGAAGCAGCTGTGAGCAGGTTCACACTGAGAGCAGGGTGAGGGTGGTCAGCCCTAGTGCAGCACCACAAATAGTGCTGAGACCCTGAGCTGGGGTGGGTGACCCTGGTGCTGAGAGGGGCCTGGGCTGCCAGCAGCATCCTGCTTCCAGAAACCTCTGCCAGGACCACAGAAGCCCATGTAGGGTACAGCTGTGGCTGATGCACTGTGGGTTTTGGGTACTTCTGGTGCTATTTTATGGGTACTGAGTTATGACTTTTGTTCTCTGGCCACTGGTGTTGCCAGCCCCTTGAGGAGAGCTCAGGTGTCCTGATGGCCCTAAATGCCTTCATTCAGGCAATGGAATCCCACTCCATTTTTGCTGTAACATACAAAACAGCCAGCAGTCACCTCCCCTGAGATGAACCACAATAGGAGCTGAACTTGCAGTGGAAAAAGACTCCTGCACCCTATCCTTGCACAGCACAACAAATAGAAAGGCTGTGCTCTTTGAAGCACAGTTAAGCACCCACCTGGGGATTTCAGCTGCTTGGGTTCAAAGCATGAGGGCAGCCTCCATTGCTGTGCTGTATCTTGTCCTCAGAGATCAGAGCAGCAGCAGCTCAAGGGTTTTGGGGTGAGTAGGGGTGATGGGGATGGTTATTTTGCTCCTTAAATGCTGCTGTGTCCTCTCCAGACCTCTAAGCTGTAGGACAGCATGTATTTTTCCCCAATAAGGGGATAGCTTTGCTCTGTCCTTCTTCAGTCATCATGCACAGCTTTGCCAACATCTTGAGTTTGTGGCACCAGCTGGGATTACAGAAATGATGCCTTTTTGAGGCAGCAATGACAGCTGGAATGGTTTTAGCAGGGTTTCTGTGCAGTGGGAGGCCCCTTTGTGTCTAAGGGTCTGCTGAGCAGAGCAGTGAGGGTGTCTCACTGAAGTCATCAGGGCCACTGCTGTCATTGGGGTGTCCCCATTTCAGGCAAGGTTAATGCTCCAGCCCAGCTGTGTGCTGCATCATTTCCTCTGCTGTTGCATTACCTCTGACACATGGTTTTGGAAGTCCTGTAGTAACTCTTGGGTCCTAGAATAATTTGTCAGCCCGGCTGGACAAACAGTTGTTAAAAAAATTTAAAAATTGTCCCAATGACATCCTCACCCAACTCCAGCACCTGGACTCTAATGTTTCCCACCGGGATGTTTCCCTGAGTAATAGGTTCCAGGTTGCAGAGGAAGAGTGGGCTTACCCAGGAAAGGGTGGCTGTGGATGTTGTGGTGTGAGCCTTGACTGCATGTGCTATGAGCAGTCCTTATTTTCTTTAGAATTTATGATCTCCATAATTTACTCAGCCTGTAACTACAGGTGGCACGGGCATTTTTTTAATCTGGTCTTAAAGGTAGAAATAATTATTTTTTATTTGCTGTCCTTGCCAGTTGCCCTTACTTCATGAAAACCCTGCAGGCCTTTCCATCTCTTTCATTGACAGAGAAACTGGAACCAAAAGGGAGCAAGATGTTTGCACGGCATAAGAAGAGACAGAAATATTTTTTTTTTCCTGTCATAACCTCATTGAGAGCTGAAGTTTCTGTTTTGTGCTCTCCATTCTGGCCTGATGGCCTTCCATGCTGTGCTGTCGTGCCTGCTGAGTGCTGTTGGTGGCACACAGAGCATCATGAGGAGCTTTTCATAATTTCTCCTGCTTTAGAGAAAAAACTCTCTCTGATGGGCACAGGCTGAACAGGATCAACTTGGTGCACCAAAACACAGGGTCCAGAGGTGGAGGCGCTGTGGTTCTCAGTCCCTTCCACCCACCTCAAGGAGATTCAGCTTCCTCCCCTCACCTGCCTGGTGTCCATCTCTGCTTTTCGGAGCCAACTGTGTAGGCTACTGCTCGGCATTTTCTTTATTGTTGCCTTGTTACCTCTGCAGTTGAGGTCTAATTTGCTCTTCATTCTTCTGTGATCTCATTAGCTGGTGATTTGGGGGTTATTATCTGTTCTGCTTAAAGCAGAGGCTTTCAGGAGGAGAAACTCAGACATGCCTGTCCCTTCCCTTCTCTTTCAGAACCTGTCCCTCAGCCAATCCTCATGGCTGAATGCAGGAATAAAAGTGTGTCTGTCAAGTGTGAAGCAAAAGGGAAGGCCAAGGATGAAGTATTTTTAATAGAACTGACCCAACCCAATGGCAAAAAAATCCAAAAGAACGCAACAGTGCTGGAATGGCACAGGTGGAATTCTGGGACGTTCCGATGCGTTGTTAAGAACAAAGTCAGTGAAAAAATGGCTGAAAAAGCAATTAACTGCTCAGGTAAGAAATCTCTTCTGTCAGAATGTGCTAGGGTGGACCACTGCTGAGGGCAGTGAGGTGTGAGAGAGCTTTTGCTCTTCCTCTTCTCCTGTGGGGAGATGCATTGTGTTTTTCTCCTCTCCACGATCATGTCTATCAATGTGGTGGTTGCCTGCTACCCATGGGTTGGATGAGTTCTCTCACAAGGGGGAAAATGAGCTGCTGGCACTCCTCAGCTTGGCCTAGAAACCAGGAGGGAAGTTCTGGAGGGTTTTTCTCCGGGTTACATGGGTCAGATAAGCATGGTTCAAATGTACCAAGGTTTTCCTATTCAGCTAACCACAGATGCAGCAAAAGGACTGAAAGGATTGCATTTTAAATGGGAAGAGTCATGCTGGAAATGATTCAGTAGGCAAAAGAAGTCATCACAGTTGTCATCCTCCCACATAAAAATTCTGCCAGTTAAGGCACAAACAAAGGACAGATCACACTGGTGTGACACTGGGTGTGGTGTTCAAAGTTCAGAATTCCAGTGCAGTGCTGGGGAAAAGTCCTTCAATTTGCCAGGCTTGGGCTCATCCCACCCAACCATGAGTGCTCTGCTGGAAGCATTCTCTTACTCTAGATTCTTGCTGGAGCTGGTGGAGAGTAGAGGGGGCTCACAAGATCTGGCTCAGTATTTCCAATTTTTACTCATTTCTGCCACAGTGAATTTAGGGAAAGTCCAAGTCTGAAGGACAGCCCATGGCGTGAGAAGGGAGGGAGCAAGCCCTGAGGCTTAAAGGCTTTACTGAAGTGATCCCAGGTCTGCTGATTGTGACTGATGGGCCAAGAGCTGAGGGACAGGATGAGCACTGCTCTCCTGTGCAGCTGATGCCTTCTGAATAATCCTGATTTCAAAAATAGCCAAGAAATGCATTTTTTTGCTGCTGCCTGACCTGATGGACTGCACAGTCCCATTGATGATTGATGTTAGCATTGGGAAGGGGGCAAGCAGGATGTGGCACGGACTTTGGAGCCAGGTATGAAAGTGTGCTGCTGGATTAGATCTGTTTAAGTCAAGGCAAACTATCCCAAACACCTTGTCTGGATGAGGAAATCCTGGCCAAAGCTGCCCATGCCAGGACACAAGCCAGGCAAGGACAGGTCTGCCTATAGTCAGACACTGGCCATTGTCTAGACAATTTTGATTTCACTTTTTCTCACCCTTGAGAAATGCTCTTTCATCACAGGGTGAATTGGGTCAGAGAGTTTGTTGTTTGTTTTTTTTTTTTCTCACATCATTAACAGAGAAATACCAATGATCTTTAAGGTAAAAATACAGCATTTCTCAGACACCAAAAACCTCCTAAGAACGTGGAACACTACTCTTCCTACCCAAACTAAATACCTTTCAAATTTTCTATGTAGTGGCAGGACTCTGCCAGCTCCACAGTAGATTAAAAATCCCTCATCTTGGAGCCAAACCTCCTTCTAACCCTGCTGCCCTCTGTGAGCACTTGGTCCTGCATTTGAGGCCAATCACCTTGAATTATGATCTTTAGAGGCAACATTTCAGGTGGGCTTAAGCTCAGCCAGCTTTTCATAGAAGTGTAATTATATGTGGATCTGTCCAGGCTCCTCTTGCACTCATGTGGGAGGACCAGGCACAGAAAAAGCCAAATACATCTTGGTGTAACACTGGCTGCTAAAACAAGTGGCAATTTAAATACAGTGAGCTGGCACACATGAATGCTCTGGTTTCAATTTTCTGCAGAACTTGAACCCATCAGGGAGCAATCAAAATTCTCAACAATGAGGAACAGCAACTTTCTGCTGTCAGCAAGTAAAAGGAAAGGGTGGGATGTCTGCTGGTCTGCCTTTACAGTCAATGGAGGAAAATACAGAATTCTAAGGAGATGTTGTGCAAGTGATTTCTTTCCATCTAACATCCTCTTTCATCCCCTTAACTAGGCAAGATGGACTTTTATCTCATCTTGAGCATAGCAGGAGGTGCAGTCTTCTTTGTCATCTTTGTGATTTGCATTATTTATTGTATCAGAAGGAGGAAAACGAAAAGGAATGAAATTCATGGTAAGTGTTTAAGAGGCTTTGTTTTGCTATCCAGCCACCTAAAATATTAGAGCTTCCCACTGACAGCAACCCTGTGGTCAGGTGCATTTTCTCTGCCCTGACATGAGCAATAACCTGGTTTTAGCAGATGGTGAATCTGTGTAGATCAGGGGCATTGCCAGTCTCACTTTCTGACATGTGCTTTGAGAAAGCCACCTGAGTATAATTTTATATTGTGGCAGTTCTCTTTTGAGTGGTACAGATCACTGCCTCAGCTGTGCAGTGACAGCACATCCTCAGCTCTTGGGCCTGGATTCAGCAGGAATTGAGAAAATGAGCCTGAGAATATGAAAACTAATATTTTAGTGATTATTTTATGGTGACTAGACAAACTCTCTGAAACATTTTGCTGTGAGTTTAAGGCCAGCTCAGTGTCTCAAGAGGTAAATCCCTCAATCCCTAAGTTAAGGTGAGTGATATTTCAGAAATGATGAGTCAGTGATCAGAAGTCAGCCTGTATGAATTTACCTCTTTGTGTGTGAAAATTAATGCTGGCAGAAGGGATCTCTGGCTGAGGGGATTCTGGAAATCCCAGCATAGACAAAGGCAGGGCAGGGTGCTTTGGTGTTATTTCCTGGGGTTAGATCTCACTTTCTCTTTGGTAGCCTCCTAAAGGGGACAGAGCAGCTCAGGCTGGGGGTGTCCACTGATGTCTCCTTGATAAAGCTGGTTCCCCCAACAGACAGGGCAGAGCTTTCCCAAATGCTCCAGGTACCTTGATCTCTGCCAGGCAGCCAAAAGCTTCCATGTAGGCCTGGGAGGGGCAGGCAGAGGTGATTTTTGCTGTTCACTGGTGTTGTGGTGCTGGCTGGGTCCCCAGGACGAGGTGAGAGATGAGAAGCTGACTGAAAGTTCTTAGAAGGTTGATTTATTATTTTATGATGTTATATGATATGATATTAAAATGATATTATATGAAAATTATATGAAATTATATATTATATGAAATTACATGAAAATTATATTATATTATATGAAAATGATATGAAAACTATATTATATGATATAAAAATTGTATGAAATTATATATGATATGAAATTATATGATATATGAAAATGATATACTAAAACTATACTAAAAAGAATATATAAATAAAACCAATATTTTATTTATATATAATTTATATTTATAATTATTTATATTTTTATATTTTAAAAATTTTATTTATATATAATTATATTTATAATTATTTATCTTTTAAAATATAAAAATAGAAATAATATATGAATAATATATAAAAATATATAGAAATAATATATAAATAAAAAGAGAAAAGATACATCAGGAGGCTAGACAAGAATGATAATAAAAACCCATGACAGACTCAGAGTCCGACACAGCCGGCTGTGATTGGTCATTAATTAAAAACAATTCACATGCTGGGTAAACAATTCTCCAAATCACATTCCAAAGCAGCAAGACAGGGAGAAGCTGAAGCTTCACAGCTTTCCAGGAGTAGAATTCCGGGAGAAGGGATTTTTCATAAACTGTCACGGTGACACACTGGCACAGCAGGAACATCTAAGAGTGGCAGCTAAAACCCAACATTTGGGCTATTTCTGTGTCTTTTGGACTTCTTTGGCGGACGTGTGACTGTGGGGTCCTGGTGTTGTTGCAGGGGAGGAGCGAGTGATGCAGACCCTGCCCGTGTACCATGAGATGGCGACTATGCGGGAGCTGCCCCAGGCTCCGTCCAAGCCCACCCCGAGGCAGCAGCGAGTGCAGCAGCGGCCGCTGCCCCCGCAGCCCCAGGAGCCACAGCAGCCCCGGCCCCAGCCCCGGCCCCGCACCCAGCCACGGACCCCGAACCCCCCCAGACACAGGCCCTGAGCGCACAGCCTGGCGTGTAGCAGGCCCAGAGCCTGCAAGACTTCCCTGGTGTTCAGCAGCCTAAGATGGGAAATGCCAACTCATGGTGACTGGACTGGAAGCCCCTCTCTTCTGCCTTTGGACCCCTGCTTATCTCTCTGTAAGACTACAGGTCACTTTCCTTTAACCCTTGCTACTGGGCAATTTCCAAAACCCCTGAACCCTACATAAAGAGCTGCTTTTGCCCAGCTCGGGCAGAAGAGAACCTGGGAACCTTCACAGAAGAACCTTCTGTCACTGGGAACCTTCGCAGATGAATTAATAAAGACATTGCTGTGGAACCCCACACAGATTTCCAGATTTCTCCTCTCTTTCCCTGCATCTGCCTGCCTAGGCACCTAGTAAGATAAGAGCTGATATCACAATGAGCTGATCATCACTAAAGAGCTGATATCACAACCTTGCTAAGGTTGCCTGCAGCTAAGAACTGCTTGGACAGCTGTGCTGAACAGGTCAGAGCTATCTGGACCCTGTTGTAGCCTGCTGGGGACAGCCTGAATCCCAGAAAAGGCCACATTTCTGGCACGAGGGATGTTGGTCTCTCTGCTCCACCACTCTCTGGGAAAAGAAAGTTTGTGACAGCCAGGAGCCCCTCCTGCTCAGCCCTGTGTAACACTCAGCTGTGAAAAGGCAGCTTTCCTTGCAGAGAATCAGCATCAAATGGAGACCAGGAGACTCAAGGTGATGGGCATTCATCCCTGTGGCCATTTTTTCATCATGTTAGGATACAGATATGGGGCACTGAAACCTGTGTCTTTCTGTGGTTCACTTGCTTTTACTGCGCCTTCTTGTTTTCTTGGATGATATTCACCAAGAAGAAGCTAAAGCCCTACTTGGACAAAACAGACCTATGGATCTTACAGGGTTCCATCTCCTGCTACACATTAGGACAGCTCTCTGGCTTCAGCATCAAATACATGGACTCCTGGACCAAAAATGAGTTGTATATAATTAAATATTTGTCTGAAGTTGAAAGGATTTGTGTCGTACAATGCAGAGAAGAAAATATTGAAAGCACCTTGAAGGACCTCTGTCGGAAAAACACAAATGGGAAAGGAAGAACTTTTCCCTTTTCTCCCTTTCTCCACTTTAGAAAAGAAACTGTAGGCTTGAATTGCAGCAAGGGAGAGTTAGGTCAGTATTTTATTTTTCTTTTTAATGAAACACTGAGAGAAATTTCTGAGAGAGGTTCTCCAGCACCGGGGTTTCAAAGGGTGGATGAGACAACATTCTGTGAAGCCTTTGTGCTCTGACAAGGGCCAGGAGAATGTGCTACACAGCCTCTTCAGGGACAGTTTCAACTCAGTTTTCTTTAGGCAAATAAAACAAACCTTTATTCTCATAATAAGTCTGTGGGGCTATCCAGACAATTTTTGTTTTGCCTAGAAGAGGTCTGGTCTCCTTTGGCGCATGAAACAGAGCATTATAAACGGTCAACCAGCAGGATTGCTGGTGGCACTGTCTGAATTCTCAGGGATTCACATGCCAGGGACTGTGTTTCTTGATTTTGCTGGCAACACCTCAGGTATAACGAGGGGATGATGGAGAGCTGCTGAGAGATCTGCATCCCCAAGGGAGAAGCTGGACTGCAAAAAGTGCACCTGCATTACCTTCCATGTGGAGGTGTCCATAGCTGCCTCTCAGGACAGCTGAGGAGCTGAGAGCACAGGCCAGTTTTAGAGCAGTGTCTGCATGGGTACACTGACCAATTTAAGGTAAAAAGCAAGGCAAGTGAAGGAGGAGAAAGCTACAAGAGCCACAGAACACAAGACAACCAGCCAGCTAGCTGATGTGTCAGGCAGAAGAACACCCAATGCCTCTTCCAGGCTGGCCCATTCCACATGTGCCAGGGCAGATAAAACAGCCATGCTTGTTTCTCCTGAGAAATATGACTATTTTTATCTTCTGGGGTAAGGGCAAGGAGGCAACTTGTTAGGAAAAGAAAGCTTCTACCTCCTCCAGAGCTCAGTCACTTCACTTGAACTCTGACAGCAGGAATAGTCCTGGGAGTGCCACTTGCTCTCTTGCCTTAGCTTTCTGCAGCTGATTCTTGGGCTTTTGCTATTTAAAATTGCATTTGGTAAGTGTTTCATGGTTTATTTTGTAACATACCATATGTTATATCCCTGAACTGAACAAATAAAGAGAAGACTGGGTGCAGAGGATCTTAGTTCACAGCTGTGCTGGTACTTCAGTATCTCACTTTGATACAAAGGAGGCAAAACCCCCCCATTTTGGTCCCTGAGCCACAGAGACAGGGTGCAGGAGGTGTCACACCATCCCTGGGAGGTGCTGGGGTGCCAGGAGCTGGTGGGCTCAGGCTGGTGTGGGTGAACACAGCTGCTCTGCCTGTCCTGTGGGAGCTTTGCTGGTGCTGCTCTGTGGTTACAGGTGTGGGGCTCCTTTCTGAGAGAGAGGGAGGGTTACTAGGGCCTGAGAAAGAAGATTTATCCCAATTGGGTTGATTTACCCAAAACACAGTCCTTGGCAGGCAAGAAAATACTACTAGCACAGAGCATGCCTGTGCAATGGAAAGCTCACCAGGGCAAAACTTATTTTTTCTTTGCTCCTTTTCTTTTGATGGTCACCATTGTTTTTGTGATGTCTCGTTGTACAAGTATTGTCCATTGCAGCACATCAGGAACAAACGTGAGACATCGCAAAAGCAATGGTGACTGTCAATGCTCCATGACACATTCAGAAAAAATGCTGACTTATCAAACAAGCACCCAGCAGATTTTCATTTTTCTGAATTCATGTTGTGGGGCATTCAAATCTCGGGTTTTTATGCTGTAGTGGATGTTTCAGCTCTGGAAAATGAGCTGACATTGGGACTTAAGGCATAACAGGACGTGCTTGGCTCTGGTGGTTCTTGCTGTAACCTTTCTTGGTTCTTCTTTTGTAGATGCATCTCCCACTGAATCATGAGGTGAAGTGTTTTTTCCTACTCCTCTTCAGGGGGATGAGATGATCAATGCTGGTCTTGTCCTTTTCTGTCTGCTGCCTCGTCCCCCTGTTTGAGAGCTGCGGTTTCTGTGCGTGGGTATTAGCAGGGATCAGTTTTGTTGGTGGTGTGCTCCAGAGCCAGAGCTGAAGGAATGGGATGGAGGGAGGCTCAGCCCTGTGATCAAGGCAGGTCTGTGGTTGTGCTGTGGGTCTGTAGCACTTACCAGATGGGCAGAGTGAGCAGGCACCCAAAAGAGCAATGGTTGTTTCTGTAGAAGATACAAATCTTCTATCCCAGCATTAACCCATGTGGAAACAGCAGCACTTGCTGCCCAAATTGGTCTACCCAGTAAAGAAGCCAGAACCTGCTTGTTGGCCTGGCCAGAGGGAGGTTCTCAGGCTTCTGGCACAGGCAGTGTGGGACACAGCTAGATAATTTAATTTCTAAACTAAAACTGAGTAAAAAGTCAAGTAGGAAACCATAGCTGGTACAAGCCTTTCTTGAGATGCTTGCCAAAATTATGCCATGGGGAAAAGACACTGATTTTGTCCTTATTCTGCTACAGATATTCAGGTGCTGCAGCTGATAATGTAAGAGGTCTGGCCTCAGGATTTTGGATAAGATCAGTTTGTAGTAGCTATCAAGCTTGTGAAATACCACTGCTGGGCAATCCTATCTCATGCTGTGGGAAGAAAGATAAGGGTTAATTGAAGGAGAGCACAGTGAGAGGCCCTGAGCCAATGAACTGGCCTCCTGGTTCTTCTGCCAGCCTCAGCTCACAAGAGGAGTGCCAAACCCAACCTTCTCACTCTCTCCCCCACCAAAGTGCTCCTTCCTTCCCTGCAGAAGGGAATTTATACCACAGGACCTTTTCTCATCCTTCCAGCCTGCCTGCCTTGAGCCTTGGATCAGCTGAACCATGGGAGCCTTTCCCTCCCTCAGAGGTGCAATTTCATTCTTTACCCTTTCAGAGAGGTGCCAGACCCTGGTGCTTGCCCCAGATTGAAATTCTCCTCAGCTCTGCTACAGCCCCCTCACCAGAACTGCTCTTCCTTTGTGAACAAAGGAATCAGGGAACAGGTGAAGGAGGTGCCAAAACATGACATGGCTGCTGCTCCCCTGGGCCTTCTGGTGGGGCTGGGAAGGTGTGAAAAGGAGCTGTGAGCAACAAAGGACAGGCATGTGAGGAGCTACCTCAGTGATCAGTGAAGCATCTGCCAGCTACTGCTCAGGGCCTCCAGGCTGGGGTTCAGGGCAGGGATCAGCTGAGCTGGCCCAGTGAATAAGCCAGGCTCTGTGCATGGGGCATACAGGATGGGCAGGCTCAGAAATGGCTGCTTGAGAAGATGAGCTGGATGACGAGGAAGCAGGATTTGAGTCACATAACTTTGTCACATTCTCAGTCCAGGGGTGTGGCTTTTCTTTCTGTGCAGAGCTCCCATCTGAAGTGTGATTTACCCTTTGGGCAGAGACATGAGCTGCCTGCCTTGCTGGGCCTCCTGTTTCCCCCTCCTTTTTTTCATCTGAGGACCAGTTGCCTTGTTCTCACCTCCTGTGATGACACTTCCCACCATTACTGTCTATTCTAGTTTTCTTTGCTACAAAATGCCCACTCTGGATGGTTTATTCTTCCTCTTTGAATGACACCTCAGGACTGCACCTATGCACGTGTTGGCCTAAGGGAGGAAAGGGGACTTCCAAGGTGTCCTCACGGCTTCAGAACATGGTTCCTCGTGATCATGCCTGCCCTGAGAAGCCCCACTCTGGATTGTTTGCTGTTGGCTGCTTTTGCCAGTGCTGTCAGGAACGATTCCTGGCTCTGGAAGGAACCTCTTGGCTGCCTTCTGCCATGGATAGTGCACAGCCTTGGCCTGCTCCCTTTCCTGAGTCTCACTGGGCCTGTGGTGAACCCTGGGCATGGAGCCCATGGTGCTGTGAGGCCCTGCTAGGGCAATGTTTGATCCTGCCCACCTGCCTGTCACCAGCATTGTCCCCAGTGAGGTGCCAGAGCCTCGCCTGCCTTTGCTTTGGGCGCTATTGTTCGACAGTTTCTGCCTGGGGTGCATCTGAAGCGCAGTTTTGAGATAACAGGAAGAGATAACACCACAACTGAGATGCTCATTGGTTGTGTTTCCCACACACTCTTTCTGCCTACATAAAAACAGCAGGCAAGTGTTTCTGGCTGCTGCCTGGCCTCCCACACGAATCACAAATGCCTGCTTTAATTTCCAGTCCTTTGGTGTGGGGCATGGGGCAGGTAAGCGAGCAGAGTGCGGGGGCAGAGGGGTGCGAGGAGAGATGCTCTTGGTGCTGTCACTGCTGTCCACTGAGGGGAAGAGCTCTGAAACAGCACTGCCTGCAGGCATCCCCAGCCTGCATCTCCCTGCTTGCCACTCCCTGCCTCAGCAGCAGTGACATGGGGACAGGCAGTGAGGCATTTGGACAGCTGGCCCTGGTAGAGCCCCAGGATGAAATGTCCGGGACCGGAATTAGGCAAACCCCTCTTCCTCTGTCAAAGCCAAAGCGAGTTTTCCTGTGAATAATGGCAGTGAAATTAAGGCATGCTTGTTTGCCAACAAGTTCCTGTGGAAGGGTGCCCTGGTCTCCAGCTTTTCTTTCATAAAATGTCCATGCACATGACGTGCTTCCACGATGGGCTCCCTGCAAAGCCTGTGTCGGCCCCTTCTCCCTTTGGCTGGGTGCCCCAGAGCCCCCTGTGCTTGTTGGCAGGTGTTCTGGAGGATCCCGCTGGGCAGTTCCTAGAAAGGAGCTCTGTGCCAGGGCACTGGGGGCTTGCCCTGCTCTGCCTTGGCTCTGCTCTTACTCCTGACTCATCTCACAGTGACTGGGGCGTCCTGTCTGTCCCTTGTGACTTGCCCTGTCCTGAGCAATAGGCACAATGGCAAACCAGGGAGAGCAAGGGCAGTCTGTAGGCTTGGGATGTTCCTGGGATGCTCCTAATTGTATTCCTGCTGGGAATGGGATTTCTCCTCTTGTATGAGAATGGAAGCTATCAATTTGTGCTGGCGTTGCTCTTTTCCTCCATCTCTGCTTTCCTGGAAGTTTTACAGCTGTTAAAGGCACCACCTGAGGGAGCTGTGTCTCCGGGAATGGCTGCACAGCACCAGGCTGCACCAACAGCAAGGGGGACAGCGAGGCCCTTGTCCTGCAGACACACCAGTCACTGTAGTGACCATTTCTAGCTGGCTTCAGTGATTTCAGCAGCCAGGGCGACTGTACATGGCAAAATGAGGATGTGGCTCCTGCTGCTGGTAGGAAGTTCTGGTATTTCAAACCCAAAATTCAACCAGGAAAACCTCCAATGTTCTTCTGCTGACCTTACAGTTCCTACAGACTCTATTTTTCTTTTAGCCATTTATAAATTACCAAGAAGACAAGCTTAGCCTAAAGCTATCCACTGCAAAAGAGGAACAAAGCAACATGGAGATTTTTAAAAAGCACTGTCAAGAAGGAAACTTGTCTGCACAGCAAGTGACTTGTAGGAGCCTTTAGGCCCTGTAGTGGAAATTAAATACCAAGTGTTGAAGGAGTTGATCAGAATCCAAAGTCTTCCAAAGGAGGGTATGTTTAATACGGAAAAAGGAGTGAAAATAAAGAGTGTCCCTATCCTGTTTCTTTCAGACATCTTGTCTTGCCTAGAAATTCAGGTCACAGGTGGGCTGCCTTGTCTGATGCTGCAGAAAACAGCAAATATGTCCCTGACTGTTGCTGCCAAACTACACTCAGTTATCAGGTTCATTCTTGTCCTTCTCACCCCTCTTCCTTGGTACAGGTACAGTTTGGCTGGGCTGTGTTCTAGGGCAAAGAGGCTGGACATGTATATCTCTGAATATGAAATGTTACCTGCAGTAGGCCTCCCTGTTTATGTTGGGAACATCCCATCAGGAAAACTGGATTTCCCTTAAACTGGAAAATCTCCAAACTGCAGCTCTGAAGAGCCACAGGTGCCAGGGTTAGAGGCAACGTCAATAACGTGAGGAGAGGCATTTCAAGATAGCAACCACAGAAGAATCAGCTGTGAATCTGCTTTGTCTCAAAACATCTGTGCTAGGGAAGAGCATCTGTGGCAGAGCACCTTAGGCAAACACAGGAGTGATGTCTTATCTGGAGATGAAAAAGTGCACCATGAGTGGCAGGCACTGGAGCAGCTGTCTCAACTGACTCAACACATGTACA